TATATATATATATATATATATATATATATATATATATATATATTTATTTTTTTTTTTCCCCCCTTGTGCTAAATGTTAATTAGCACGCTACTTCTACTGTTAGTGATGATACTTCTGCATGAGTCTGTTTGGCTTTGCACACTCATCATTTATACTAGTCAATAACGATGGCCAGTATTGCTGGTTTTCCAGATAGTCTTGCAAAGGAACAGGCACTTGAGCTCCAATCCAGCAATGTCTGTGCAACAGCTATGGCCCACTGCCTCCATAAAACCCAGCCATGTGCTCAAGTACTCTGCTAAGCACTTTCAAGAAAGATGTTATGGAACTTTTGCTCTTTTTCAAATGTGAACACATACTTATCATAGTTAATCTCTTAAGATCTGCCCAGAAAAGGTAAATCAACATAACTAGCCATGGGAGGGTTTGAGCCACAGATAAAAAGGTTTCAGTCTGCGATCAATGCCTCTAGCTCTAGCTGGAGTTATCCATGAAAATTTCCTGTACATCCTTGGAATAATAACCAAAAGAGTCTAAATAACTAAAATATGTATCTGCTAAGTAAAGCTTTAATCATCTGGAGCCTTATAACCACTACATTACAATCGCAAATCCTGAAGGGGCCAGTACAGCAAAGAGCCTGTCTCCATTCCAGTTCCTAGGTCTGGGCGTTTAATAACACAGTTGTCTCAAACCACATTGGGCTGAAACTTGGCTCATGTTTTTGTCAGCCCAGATGTAACTTTCCCCCCCCCCCCCCCCCCTTTTTTTTTTTGGTACTGAAAACTTTATTTAAATCAGTTCAGCTGTTTATAATTTGGACATTGGCCAAACCTTGGGGGGGTGGGGGGCAGAAGGGATTTCAAGTTTTTCAGATAACTTTATAACAAATCTACAGTCATAGTGGCTTCGCTCTGGGGAAAAGAGTATGCACGCATATCAGTATTTTAGTAGTAGCAAAGTAACAAGTGGATTATTATTTTTATGTAGCTAAGCTATGAAAGTTTGTAGTTATTCACTGAACATTTCTCGAAGATCTCTCTACTAACTGTTTTCCCTCAGTAAGAACCATGCTGAAAGCATGTAATTGCATAACAACCCTTGATATGCAGAGTATTTACTCACATTTTTTATGGTTTCATATCTTGACCGTTTCAAATTGAACAAG